TTATCTGTTGAAAACGCGTTTCACTGTTGATCATCTTCGATTCTGTTTTTAGGGTTTTCTTCTCCGGCCTTAATGGAAACGTCCGGCACCAATCATGACCCCTTCAGGGGTTCTCCTCGAAGAAACTCCATCCTCTCTGCTTCTAACATCATCCAGGCCCCCATATCTACCTTGTTAGAGTATTCCGGTCTCTTTCGACCACGGACAAGTCCTCCTCAGGAGGTGGAACCGCTGGTCAGTGATGATTCTGCAGGAATCTCCAATGGTGAGGTTGCCATTAGGATCATTGGCAACGGGGAGCAGGATGCCGAAACTGATAATAGTGGTCCGAGGGAAGCCGTTGCCCATCCACAGTCTCAAGTTTTGGCTTCTGGGGATCAGGTTGATCCCACGGCTGCTGGAGAAGGGGCCTCTCAGGCTGCTCCAGGTGAATCTGCAGCTGGAGATGCCGCAAGCCGGGATTCACCTTACCAAAGATACGATATTCAGCAGGCCGCACGGTGGATCGAGCAAATTCTTCCCTTTTCTTTGCTTCTATTGGTTGTCTTTATCCGCCAGCATTTGCAGGGTATATCTTTCCTTTTATATCTTTTGTATTCAATTCTGATTGCCACTTGTGTATGTCTGTTTACTCATTTGGCTTTTGCTGCTATCGTTCAGGTTTCTTTGTCGCAATTTGGATTGCTGCTGTCATGTTCAAGTCAAATGATATTCTCAAGAAGCAAACAGCTTTGAAGGTTTAACACTACATCTACTTATTTCTCTGTCAATTCAAAGTTCAAGATTGTTAGTCTAAGTCTCAACTCTCAAGCATGTCTCTGATATTGATTACAGGGCGAGAGGCATATCTCGGCATTAATCGGAATCTCTCTAGCGTTTACGGTCCATGTTGTTGGTGTTTATTGGTGGTTTAGGAAGGATGACCTCTTGTATCCCTTAATCATGCTGCCTCCCAAGTCCATACCACCTTTCTGGCATGCCATTTTTATCATAGTGGTGAATGGTGTGTTCCTTCTCTGTCATATTGTTTCCCTTGTCTTTGGGAGTCTTGTTTCTCCAGCTAACACTAACAGTGAATCTCTTCTTTATCTTGTCATCAGAAGATATTAGCATCTCGCTTTTCATGCATTATTCCCTATATGTTTCGATGCTGTGTCTTTAATGCTGACATGACTTGTACTTGTTCTTCAGATACTCTTGCCCGGCAGGCCTCAATGATATTCAAGTGTTTTCTGTTGATGTACTACAAGAACAGTAGGGGTCGAAATTATCGTAAACAGGTGATGAAGAAAAATGTTCTTCTCTGTCCCCTCTAGCTGTATTCAGTTTAACCTGGCCTGGCACACTGTGCGTCTGTGTGATACACCTTTGGCAAGCAATGCATAATTTGGTTATTCACTTTTTATGCAGGGTCAATTGCTAACTTTGGTTGAATATTTGATGCTTCTGTATCGCTCTTTGTTGCCTACCCCTGTATGGTACCGTTTCTTCTTGAACAAGGATTATGGAAGCCTTTTCTCCTCTCTTATGACTGGATTGTATCTAACTTTCAAGCTCACTTCAGTAGTTGAGAAGGTAGGTGTTTTCCTAGAATTTTTAGCCTCCTTTTTTTTTCTTATTCTGGAAGCTGAGGGGAAATTGGCAATGAATAATATCAGGTTCAATCCTTCTTTACGGCATTGAAGGCTTTATCACGTAAAGAGGTGCACTATGGATCATATGCAACTACAGAGCAGGTACAGTTTAAGTTCTTGCAGATTCAAGTGTAACTAATGCCTCTTAAGATTGAAGCCCAAACGAGCAAAGAAGTGGCTTTGTAATGTGTGCAGGTGAATGCGGCAGGCGACCTGTGTGCCATCTGCCAGGAGAAGATGCACACACCAATTCTTCTTCGCTGCAAACACATGTTTTGCGAAGACTGCGTCTCAGAGTGGTGAGT